TTGTATTATATAAAATTCTTTTTTTTTTCTTTTATCTTTTAAGAAACTTTTTTACTTAATCTTTATTACTTGTATATTAAGTTTGTCTGTTCTATAGGGTTCTTTAACCTTTTTGCTTTCTAGTTCATTAAACATTTTTCTTTCTATTCTTTTGAACCATTTTGCTTTTTTATCTTTGTTTGATTGTTTTTAGTAATTTTTAAATTGCTACTATATAATTAGACTTTCACCTTTTGTATCAAGTAGTTGGTTTAGATATATTAGATCTGTTTTATTTATTTTGGCTCCACTTATTTTTTACAGTTATGTTTCTAGTAGTTTGACTATTCTGTAACTATAGCTGCTTATTGTTTATAGTTCACTTTTTGTATTTATACTTATTCTTAGCTCTTTCATTTTAACTATTGTCAAACAGACTAAATTGTTCTTTCAATATGTTTTATCTTCTGACAACTTCTCTAATTTCTATATGTTTTCAGTTAATGCTATTCTTTGACAACCTTGTATTATTTTTAATTTTATTAACTATCCTAATTTATCTTTTCTGTTAAGTCTTGCTAACAGACCTTCTACTTGTTTTATTATTAATTTCTGTCATAATATTCTGTAGCTGCTCAGATCTTTGTATTCTATTATGCAATTCTTTAATGTTTTTAATAAGCTGCTTTTTTGTTTTGTCAAATATATCATTAGTTGGTATATTTCATTTATTTCTTTTTTCAACATTTTTGTTAATTGCAGCATATAACTTAACTTTAGTATTATTATCATATTGTTTATATATATTATCTAGCTTATTGTTATCTTTTTGTACTTAAAGTTTCTTATTGTTTAGCTTATTATTCTTTTTGCTTTTTTTTTAACTAGAACTTCTTGTATTCTGTTATTTAGCCAGATTTTCAAAAAACAAACTATCTTGTTTTTTGGTTCCTCTATTATTTTATTTCTTTTAAATGTTATTTCTCTTTTTTTTGATTTTTTTATTTATTATTATCAACTTTGACTTAAATTTATTTATCTCTATATCATTTATTTTAAAGAACTTTTCTTCTATTTTTAATATTTCTAATAGCTGTTCTTTATTGTTCATAATCTATATTATATTATTTGCATATATAATTGCTACTTAATAGTAGCTTGTGATATTATTGTAATGTATTTTTTCTTTAATTCCTTGCTTTACTATATAGTTTAATCTTTTATCATTCTGTATTCTTTTTAGTAATAGGTCATAAAAAAGGTAACATATTAGTAGTAATATTACTTTATCTTGATTTATTCCATCTTCTGTTATTATTTCTTTTATTAGGCCATAGGCTGTAATTATTTTAAACTGTCTCTTATGAAAAAGATTTAAAATATACTTGATTGTTTTTTCAGATATTTTAACTTTTTGCAAAGTTTATTTAAGACTTTTGAATAAGACAGAGTTAAAAACCTTTTTTATATCTTGCAAAAGTATTTATAATTCTTTGTTTATTTCTTTTGTCTCTTTTATTATTATATTTAGAACATGTACTGGCTATTCTGTTAAGTTTTCTAAAAGGGCTCTTAAGTATTTCTTTTTCAACAAAAATTTTACTAAGCATTTTTTTTAATACTTTTGTTATAATGTTTTTGAATGTCTTAATTATGGCTATTAGATAAATGTTATTTAAACTATATATCTATTCTATATCTTTTAATATCAGATATACTTGAACTATCTTTCATTTTATTAGTATTTCTTTTATTTTTAAGCATAAATCTGCATAAGCTCTGAACATCTCTTGCATTTTTTTTTTTACTCTTTTTATTAGCAAAAAATATAAGTAAAATATTGTAAAAGATTTTGTATACCAAAAATCTTTTGAAATAATTGCAATTGATATGAAATTTTTTTGAAATAAAAAATTTTGCAATATTGCAAAATAATTGAAAAAATTTCACAATATTGTGAAATAATCAAAAAATTTTACAATAATGCAAAATAATAAGAAAATTTTTGTAATATTGTAAAATAATTAGAAAATTTTTATAATAATATAAAATAATTAAAATTTTTTCACAATATTATAAAATAATTAGAAAATTTTCACAATAATGCAAAATAATTAGAAAATTTTTGCAATAATGCAAAACAATTAAAAAAATTTTGTAATAATGCAAAATAATTAGAAAAGTTTCACAATACTACAAAATAATCAAAAAAATTTTGCAATATTGTAAAATAATTAGAAAACTTTTACTATTATGAAATAATTAAAAAAATTTCAAACTTATTTATTAATTTATTTACTTTTTAATTATTATTTATTTAATATAATTTTTAGGGGTGTAGTAACTTAGTGAAGTAGTTAAGTTGTCAACCCCCCAAGTGGTAGATTGGGAGTTCAAAACCTTTTAATAGTGAAAATTTAAAAAACTACCTATATTATATTAGTATTATAGAAGGTAAGTAATATTATAGCAACAGCATTCTGTCGATCAGTTGAGATTAGTACCTGTAACATAGTTGCACCAGATAACTGGCAAGTTATAGAGCATCTGTGCAATATTGAAATTATACAGAAAAATGCAAACTAGCATCAGATAGTGCAAATCTAAGATAAGTTCTTGTAGTTATGTAATCTGTAAACTGGAAAACCAGAGCCCATTTGGGAAAATCTGAGTAAAGAGATAGCACAGATCTTCAACAATACTACTGTAAAGACTAAACCTAAGAAACAGATACTAATGTAGAAAGAATTAGGCAAGCAAGAACCTCAGATAAGAGATACTACCAACCAGGCTGTCAGAAGTTTCAAACTGAAGAAAAAGAACCTTGAAGAACAGACCTTAGAGTACCAAGATCAGGTTATAGTCCTATCAGACTATTTGGATTGAGAGTCTGAGATCAAAAACAGAGATATACTATAAGTACTAAGAATATGCTATGAAGTTGATACTAGGATTTGAGTAAACTTTGCAAAGGTAAACCCTGTTAACAAGTGACTAAATATGAGTAGTTAGTTAGCAAAAGGGTCACCTAAAGCTCTACAGTTAGATGATGTACTCTGAAATATATAACAGCTTGACAGATGTATAGATAAAGAAGTCATGGTTAGGTTAGATAGCACTTAGATGTATAGGAACTTGTATGCTATTTGTCAGTATAAGTATAAAGATCAGAGTGTTTAAATAAGTAATCTTCTAGTAGATTGCAGATATGGCAGCTAGTATAAAACCTGCTATGCAAACAAACTACTTAAAATAAACAACCAAAAGTTGTACATGTTGTTAGTTGTATATTCATCTTATACAAGTTATATAATCATAATTAAAATACAATAAAGGCAATAGCTACTGATAACTACAGCCTTAGTATAAGCAAAAAAAAAAAATTTTATTTAGATACTTTAACATTTTAAAAAAGTAAATCAGAGCTAAAAAAAATATAATTATACAAACAAATTTGCTTATAAAAATCTACAATCTAAGGGATAGTATTTTATTTTAGCTAATAGTTATTGAAATATTTTTTTTAAATATTAATGATAAGGCCATGGTTATTGAAATATTTAAAAATATAGTTGTTTAGTATTATAAAGATCCTAACCAAAGGTTCCAGGTCATGTCTCAAATGCTCCAAGTGCCTCAGAACACTCTAAAATGATAGAATAATTAATTTAATTATAGTTAATTAATATTTATTAATTATAATACAATATTTACTATAGTGTTACTATATAGTTTCTATGTACTACTATAGTTATTTTTAGTTGTACTTAGGGCAACACCTGTAAGAAGACTTCTGAACACTAAATAACTATAAAGAGTTTTGTAGATAAACATATGGGCTACATAATAATATTTGTTTTATTTTTAGTTAATATATAAGTTATTGTACAATAAAGTGCTAAGTATTAGTAAAAATAGAAAAATATAGGATTGGTTTATTATTTGTGTACAAGTATTATTAATGAGGGTATAGGTCTTATAGCTTAATGATTAAGCTTTTATACTCCTACAGTCAAGGTCAATAGTTCAAGTTCAGCTGAAAGCAAAATCAAAAGATTTTAGCTTCTGTAATCTATAAGAAGCCTATAATTGAATATAAAGTCCTATAGTCAAGTTCAAGTGCAATATATGACAGAAAAAAAGAATTTTTAGAAGAAAACTAACTTTGCAGAATGTGGACACTACATGTAACAGTAATGTTACAGAAAGTTCTATTAAACAAAGAGTTGCATATGTAAGTTCTCTGAAGATAAAGCAGTATCAATATCTCTGTATCCAACTTGTAAAGTACTTGATTAAAAGGGTGATATCAAGGTAATACAGATCAGAGTAACAAGAGAAGCAGTATATGCATAAAAGGTTTGTAACAAAGAATTAGCCTTATTAAGATTAGAAGCACCTCTGGCATTGTAGAATGTCTAAGAATAGAAAATAGCCATCTATATAGAAAAGTTGTAACCTGTCTTGTATATCTAAAAGTTCCAAACTAGAGCTCTAGTCATATCTATATAAAAGCTTATAGCAAAACAAGTAGAATATACTAACATAAATACTATATCAATCATAGTTGAGATATCTAAATTGAAAGTTGAAATCTTTAGAACTTTGTGTCAATAGTGAAAACATCAGTTTTTGGTTAAAAGAAGATATGTATGTTAGGGATGTTAAATTGCGAATCCGGTCCGGTCCGATCCCAGGATCTATTAGGACAGTCCCGGACCTATTAATAAAAACCGTTAATTAATCAATCCCAGGACTGGGTCCTGAATTACAATCCTTAACAGGTTCATCCAATCAAATTGACCATTAAGCCAAATTTTATTTCTTTTATCAAAACGACAACTTTATTACATACTTAATTTTTTTTTACATAAAAAAAAATTTACAAAATTTATATGTATATATTATATATACTATATATATAACAGAAAATATATAAAAAAAAAAGTTTTATTTTTATATAAAAAGATTATATAAAAAAAAAAAAAAAAAAAACCTATTTATTAGCATTAGATGCTAACCTCTTCACCTGCTTCACTTACCCCTTCACTTAAAATTTCACCTAGTTCGGTGTACCAGCTTTTCAAGCACAATGACGTACGCGTTATTTCAGGATTTATACGATTTCAGATTGGAGAGATCGTATGTTTAGCAACAGAGAAAGCTTGCTTATTAGCAACCCTAGTAGCTTGCACAGTGAGAAAATCTATTGCAATGTGAGAGAGAGTTGGATATTGTTTAGAATTTGCTTTCTACTATAGCAATAGTTCGGCTTCAGTTTCAGACTCGGACAAGTAGGTTGTGATTTCATACTGATCCTTATTAACTTGACGACAATTCGTAAGATTGCAAAAAAGATCACGCATTGATTTAGTAGCAAGTTGTGATGGTAATTTATTTTCTTCAGCTGGTTTATAATTTTCATACACTTTGTAGAGCATATTAATAGCTTGTTCACGTTCATTTACTACATAGGTTGAGAGCTTATTATGCGGATCAAGAAGGCCCAAAATTGTTGACGACTTATTCAAGTGAACACAATATGATGCAAACTTTGTTTTCATTGCACTGACTACGACATGCTGTGTATTAACCTTTGGGTTTTCATTATTATTTAAATGCATAATTAGGCTACAAAATACTATACGATGGTCACCTTGAGTAAGAAGTGTTGACGAAGATAGCATTACAGTTGCATGATATATGGGTTCAAGAACTATTAACAGGTCCTGTAATTTATACTTATTAGAGTTGAATATTTAAAAAAAAAATTTAAATTAGCATTACTAACAACAATAATATTCCATTCTTGATCATTGGGATAGCTTGGTTTTAGAGTTTGATTGCTTGCTACAAGGATATTGGTCATAGAATGAATTTATTGAAGTTTTTCTAACATGATATACATGCTATTCCATCTTGTGTTAACATCGGTTTCGGGCATTAAAAATAGTACGTTTTTCATTTCAAAAATTTTTTTTAATTCACGAATAAGTGACAGAGAGTTTCGAAGCTTCATAGAAAACTCATGTGCCTTAGAAATTTCTTTACTAATTGATTTTATTCCTTCTTTGACAATAATGTTGAGAATGTGTGTGCCACAGCAAAAATGCTATACATTATGATTACCAAATTCATTGCTAATTTTTTCTTTTAGAATACGCCCCATTGCAATCCTGTTGGCAGCATTGTCAATCATGATTCCTAAAAGCTTTTGGCCGAAATCCATTTTCTTTAAAATTTCAATGATTGTATCGGATTGGTTGATTGCAGTGTGGATTTCATTAAATGGGATAAGGTCGAGTAAGATACGATTCATTTTCCAATCAGAATTTACCCAATGTGCAGTTACAGTGATGTAGGGTTGTTGGGTACAAGAGGTCCACCCATCTATTGTAATTGAGATTTTTGATTGAATTGTATTTAAAAAAAATTTGATTTTATTTTTATTTTTAATATAATCTTGGCCAACCCAAGTCGAGAGTGTCTGCTGACATGGGAGCCTATAACAGGGATCAAGTTTCTTTAAAAAATTATTAAATTCTGCATTTTTTGCTAATAAAAATGATTGTTGATTGACAACCACCCATTTTAAAAGTTTATTGTTTAAAATGTCCACTTTATATTTGTTATTTGGGCCATAAGGGTCAAGTCGTCGAGATTTATGTTGACTGATTTTAGTAAACTCTGCAAGGTGAAAATTTTGAAAGTGCCGATTAATGGTTGATATTGCGGTCTGGTTACCAAATTCTTGTTTGCATAATTTGCATATATTACCTCCATCATCTTCGAAAGGTAATCTCTGATAGGTGCTCGGTTATTTGCGGATGTGATATTTTTTTTTTTGTGTGTTTTTTTTACATTGTTTGGAGACAAGAATGTGATTTCATCGCTAGTAGTGGTTTCTTTACTAGAGGTTTTTTTATTTACAAATTCAAATTCGAATTGATTTGTTTCAAATTTGAATTAATTTATTTCAAATTCAAATTGATTTGTTTCAGTAAAAAATTCAAATTTGTTTGTTGCTATAATTTTTTTTTTTACTTTTTTTTTTTGCAGAAGGTTTTTAAACACATTACTTGTTAAGATATATGGTTTTTGTTTGATGAGAACGGCATACCAGCTTTTTACTTCATACATTATTACACTAGGAAAGACATACTGTCTTTGTTACTACACTACACTAGGAAGGCATATTCACCTTTATAACTACACTAGGAAAGGCATATTGCCTTTGTTACATACTGTCTTTGTTACTACACTACACTGGAAAAGGCATATTCGCCTTTATAACTACACTAGAAAAGGCATATTGCCTTTGTTACTACACGCTTCATTATTACACTGGGAAAGGCATATTTACCTTTATAATTACACTGAGAAAGGCATTACTACACTAGAGAAAGCATTTCGCCTCTGTTACATTATTACATTGGGAAGGCATATCGCCTTTATAACTACACTGGGGAAGGTATATCGCCTTCATTACTACACTAGGGAAGGCTATTGCCTTTGTTATTGAAAATTCAACTTGATAAATATTAGATTTCTAGTTTTTATATCAAAAAATGTGATGGTTTTTTTGAAACAAGAACACTGTTATTACTTAAAAAATGATTCATTTACTGATTGAAATTTCTTTCACGCGAGCTGATAAGATAAAAGTAGTCAACATGTGTAAGTTACACTTCTTTTGTTATTAAATACAAAATGAATTAACTTTTATAAGCTTAACTTACCTATTATTTTATTCTTAATGTGGAGATAAACAATTTTGTCATTAGCGAGGAATATGTAAAGCGTACCACCTTCAAAGCTATTTAAAATTTTCCAAATCATAACAAAGTCAGTCAAGAGCATCAACAAACTGAGTTAGTTAGAAGCATGAGTATGCTTCTCTTCTTATTAAATACTTAGTGATTTAACTTCTATAATGTAAGTTTGCTCACCTATAGTTATTTAAATCCAGAAATGGTTAACTTTTTACTGCCTTAAACATGTTACTTTTCTGTTAAAAAGAGCTTAAAATCATATTTCTTATCATTAAATACACAAACTGAAGGCCATAAACTATCCAAAATCAAAGCATATGCCTTAAAAATATTTCTTACCAGTGGTGCAAGGCCAAAGGTAGAGGGTTGTTCTAATGACATCTAATGCAGAGCCTAGAATTCTTAAAGGGACTAGGTCCTAGAATTTTTGAAGAGATCTGAGTCCTATATAGCTCTCATGTGATTTAAGGATCGAGTTCTTACCAATCCTTAAAAGGATTGGTAAGAACCGATTAGGATTCGATCCCAAAGGACCGATTAACATCCCTAATGTATGTATTCATCTCTAAGATAGAGTTCTATCTATATTATAAAAAAGAGTACTTAAGGGGCAGGTTAGATGTATAATCTATTAAACATGATACTAAGACCAAGAAGGGTTGCAAATTAGCAGTAATAACAAAAACCTAGCTTGAAATACATGCTACCAGTACTTGAATTGGGAAGCTAGCAGTGGCAGCAAGAATCTGGCTTAAGATACATACTAGAGAGGCACTCTTTAGACAAACCAAAAATTGTAGCTTAAAAGGAGTGAACAATCTAATGAACCAATTTGGAAGTTGTTAAAATAGATTGTGAGATATAGTAGAAATATATAAGTTATCTAATTTAATTAGTAGTAAAACAAAATCCAGATTAGGTATAAGTAGGATATAATACAAAACTCTAGTAAGTTTAGGTTACAGATAAATATGTCTGAATCCTATATCTAAATAGTATATGGAAGAGAGTCAATAGAAAAGGGACAAATTTTTTCTAAATAAAAGTTTTCTTGACTTTAAGCTTAAATATCTTAACAACTATTTTATTAAATTTGATAATTTTTTATTTATTTTAGTTTTATATAATTTCAAGATTAAAATAAAAAAATTTTTAGCAGATTTAATTAAATAGTTGCTAAGTTATTTAAATTTAAAAATTAAAAAAATTTCACTAAAAATGATTTGTTCTTTTTTTCTTGACTCCTCTTCATATAGTGATAGATGATGTATAAATAGATTTGTACTAGCTATAATAAATATACTAATAAAGACTAAAGAGCATGACCTCACCTTAATATCAAAAAAAAAAAAAGTATTATTAGTAAAATACATATGAAATTTCTTAATTTCTGCTATATTTTGAACATCCATATGGTTCAAGATGATGTTACAACACATGGTAGCTCTAAAACCAATCAATTATTAGGTTAAAAGCTATAAAAAAGATAGCTTTTTGTTCTTCTAAAAGAACAGTTCTTGGAAGTTTTGCTTTTATATATAAAAAAAAGCTTCTTATAATAATTATTTAACTAATAACTCTTTAATAAAATAACCTTTAACTACTATTCTTTAAATATTATTTAGGGGTGTGGCGACCTAGTGAAGTGGTCAGGTTGTCAACCCCCCAAGTGGTAGATTGGGTGTTCAAATCCTATCGACGGCGAAAATTTGGATAATCACCTATGTAATATTCGTATTACGGTAACTGTTACTAATGATTGAGTTAGGATACCTGTAATGGCGGTCACACCAGCATGACCGGCAGGTCATGGGGCATCTGTGTAAGTATGGTGTTACACAGAGGAATGCAAACTGACAAATTGGGTGGTGCAAACACTAAATAAGTCCTTGTGGCCATGTAAATCCATTGAAATTGGGTAACAAGAAGTCCATTTGGGAAGACCCGAGTAAAGAGGTAACCAGATCTTCGACGGCCCTACTGTAAAGGCTAGCCTTATGAAATGGATACCAAGGTCAAAGTAGCCAGATAGGCAAAAACCTCTAGGTGGGAGGTACTACCAACTAGGTCACTAGATCAAGCTGAAGAAAAAAGATATTAGGCTAACCTGATATACCAATGGACCAGTTATAAGTCCTACTAGGCTATCTGAATTGGGAATTTGATGAACTGGCAAGGGTATACTAAAGTATTTTGGATATACTGTGAAGTAGATGCTGGGGTTTGTGTGAACTCTACAAGGGCATAGCGGTTTAATGGTCAACTGTAACTGCAAGTGTTGGTTCTGCCATAATGATACTTAGTTCAGCTGTAAAAATGGATACAGAAGACTTTGAAGGTTTACCTTAAGAATAAATTAGTTTTAAGGTTGAAATGATGATCTGGATATCTGGAATAACTCAGTGATATTAACACAAGTTACAGATTCAGAGGGTTTAAAGTAGAATATCCAAGCAGGGGTGTTAAATATGGCAATTGGTAGGGAACTTTTGGATGGACTCCTTAAATAGGTAATATAGAAAAGTTACACATGTAGCCAATTGTATGCTCTCCTATAGTGGTTCATTGAACCACAATACTGATAAGTAATTAATAAAAGTCAAAAGACTAAAAAGGTTACCTTAATACCAAAATAAAATAAAATAAAATAAAATTTTATTGCAAAAAAGGTAGTATTTAAATATTTCTTTTTTGCACTGTTTTGATTATAAAAAATATTAAAATAATAAAAGACTATTTATAAATAATAAAAAATTAATATAAATAAAATAAAATAAGTTAAAAATTCAATAAAAGAAAGAAGATAGATAAAAGTCTTATATGTATTCTTCTTATAATATAATTTATTATAAATAGAATTAAAATTTTTTTTCATATAAAACAAGTAGAATGTGTTTTTAAATAATAAAAACTTGTTTATAAAAATCTTTTTAAGATACAAAAATAAAAATGTTTTTTAAAAAACTTTATCTTTATCTTATAATGTACTCAAAAACTTTCTTAATCTGTGTTAAATTATAAACTGTCTTAATTATTATTTTGAATAACATTATGTAATAACAGTAAATTTGAAGTAACAATTTCTTATATTTTTTGTATTTTGATATTGTTATATTTTGTCTATTAATTTATAACAATAATATTATAAATAAGCCTAATTCTGAAATTTTAAAAAACTATTATAAAATAATCTAAAATGTTTTATAAAAAATTACTAATATCATAATACTGAATAAATAAATAATAACTTTTTTGTATTTAAATAAACAAACCAAATTCAATCAAATATTATAAATTCTATTAATTAGAAGCATATATCTAATATAACTTAACTTCTGTTAAAATAATATTGCTTTAATAGAAAAAGTATATAATGATATGAGCTAGGTGCTAAGAAAAAAAATAAAATTGACAAAAAAAAGATCTTTGGAAAATCAATTTTTATTTTTATTTTTTTTAATATTAATAGTGAGGCCATGCCTCTATCTTTATTGAATATTTATTTGAAATTTTTACATAAAGTAT